GTAAAACTCTAATAAAACACAGGTATAATTCTTATATAAATGTTAGTCCTATAATACTGAGCGATATTTACAAGCAAACATGATCCAAACGGCACATGCAGATTCAGGGTAAGTAAACACTCGGACACGAACTGCCAGTCGCACCTGGTCTCCACGGCAACAGATTATTTCTTCACAGAAAGGAGACCTACATAACAAAGAAAATTTATTCAATTAAAAAGTCAGTATCTAAAATAATTTTTTAAAATCCTGTCTCTGTGATTAATGGGTACGAAGTTTCATGCAGACAGGAAGAACAAGTTCTGGTGTTCTAGGCTCACCAGTGCTAATAATATTATATATTTCTTTTTTTTTTTTTTAAAGATGATTGGTAAGGGGATCTTAACCTTTGACTTGGTGTTGTCAGCACCATGCTCTCCCAAGTGAGCGAACCGGCCATCCCTATGTAGGGATCTGAACCCGTGGCCTTGGTGTTATCAGCACCACACTCTCCCGAGTGAGCCACAGGCCAGCCCAGTGTATTTATAAATAGCTAGCAAAGAGAATCTTGACTGTAATTGCCACAAATTAAAGATAAATGTTTAGGTGATAGATATGCTACCTAGTCGAAGTGAATCACTGTACAATATATACATTTATTGAAACAAAACACTTTGCCACACAAATATGTACAATTAAAAATTTTTTTACAAAATTATTCAATAATAACAATAAAACCTTGTCTCTACTACCAATGGCTCTGTAATTTTGGCTGAGCAATTCAAATTATAGACTATTTCCTCCTAGTCTATAAATTAAAAATATTGTACTAGACAGGATCAGAGATCCTCAACTGAGATTGCATCAAAATCACTGGGAAAATTTTAGACTATCTGGGGCTACATTTCAGACCTAATGAATCAAAATTTGTGGCAAGGAGGGCAAGTCATTGCTCCCCATGTGATTCTGATGTCATCCCTAAGTAACTTCCAGACTAACTGATCTCTAAGAGGCCTACACCAGAAACATATAGGTATCAATAAATTGCACTTTACCGAAGACACGTGGCAAATGCACGCCTTGCATTTCTATACACAAAATGTATTGGAAACCCTTTAAATGTGTGACCATCAGGCACAGCCCTCCTTATTGCATCCTGAAATTCCTCATTGCCTGCAGATATACTTGTCGTACGCTCAAATTCATAAGAAGCCAAAGCTGGTGATAAAAGATAGGAAAGCTGGTCTTCCCAAACAGTAGTGAGACCAAGATCCTATAGCAACCAAAAGAGAAAAAGAAAAAAGTGAAATACATTAATATTTTAAAAACCAATTAAGTAAAAACATTATTTTAACGTGTGCCAAGAAAAGATTTGAAAAAGCTGTTGAAATTTTTTAAACTTCCTATTACTTATTATAAGGATGCATAAAAATATAATTGAAAATAAAAGGAACTACAGGTGATCAGGTTTTACCTCTTAGAGAAATAACCAAAAACATTCAATACAATGATGTTCATGTAGGCTCTGAATCTTATACTTGTTTTGCATCTACTAGGAAATACCATATGGAATGTCCTAATGGAAGATACTGTGTAAATTTTGGAATTGTATTTCATTTAATTTATTAATTGCATATGTAATTAAACAAATATTTACTGAGCATTTACACTGTAAAAGGCACTAACTTTTATACTGTAAGAGATAAAAAGGTGAAGACAACATACTACAGGCCCTCAGGGAGCTTGAAACATATGTTCTACATTAAAGGCAATTATGATTTCATTTATGACACTGAATGAACCATTGATATCTAAACACACGAAGTAAAAAAAAGTATTCAGTTACAAACATAAAAAACTTCTCAAAGTTCTAAGTATTTTGATTATCATAACAGATTTTTAACATTTCCTAATTTCACATTCAAGGTTTTAACTGATCACAAGTGATCTCGAAGGTCAATATCAACTATACTTCTCCCTGGTAAAACTTGAATCTTACTTGCAGGCCTACAAGCACCATTAACTTAGCTAGTGATCTACACTCGCCTCTACCTCAGCTTTGCTTCTGTTTTGTATAAAAAGTAATTCTTATAATGCAGTAAAATATTGCTTTTGTTTCCAGCAGTGTAATGAACAAGGTGTCCTGACCAATTCTACTGCTTAAAATCACTACAAATAACGGATTTTCCAAAACATACTTTTAAATGCTTTGCTGAGTTGGCAAGTGAGTAAGGAATATGTTACAAGCCAAAGTTAAAAGTTATTGGGAACCCAGAGAACATACCTGATAAATTAGTTTGCCTTTGATGGCCTCAAAGAACATAGAAATCAGGGCTCACCCAATGGGGGGAGCCTTATAAGGAACCCCAAAAGATGAATTAGAAATAAATCTTTTGTAGGAATTTTCGATTCTGGTCCTTTATCAGTTACATGTGTCATAAATAACTTTTCCCACCCCAAAGCATCAGTCTCTTAATGGTTTCTTTTGATGAACATAAGCCCTTAAAATATATCAATCTTTTCCTTTATGATTATTGCTTCTTAGGTCTTCTTTCCAAAAGAAATCTCCATGGCTGGCTAATAAACAAGAGACTTGATCTCATTAGTAATCAGGGAAATACAAATTAAAGCCAGAACGAAGATATCTTTTTACATCTACCCAGTTGAGTGTAACAGGAAAACAAAACAAGCAGAAACCAACCTGGGGGAAAAAAGCGAATATATATAAAAAAAAACCAAACCCGTATTTTTAATGGAGAAATTATTTGAATAAGCATTTCACAAAGAGGAAATCAAAACAGTGGTATTCAGCATAAGTCTGACTCTAAGATGTGAACAAGTCCACCATTCTTCATTTCTAGGAGGAAGTAATAAATTCTAGAAGTATTACTGAATTTGGAAGTTTCTGAGTCTCAGAACTTAACTCTCATGACTTTCAAAACTATAAATTTCATAAAGGTAGTGTCACGCTCTGGCTCTTGTCGGAATCCTGTTCGTGACGCCAGCTGCAGAGCTACACAACCACGCTAGTTGTCTGGCTCTTTTACCTAACCCTGATCCTGCACCAACTGGGCCAAATGCCAAGCTAGGGCTGGGTCTGGAGCTCACAGACCCCTCAAGCCTGTTGTCCAAACTGGGTCACAAACCCTTCACATGCCAGGCTGGGTCACCAGACCCCTCACATGCAGATCTATGAGCTAGGCAACCAGTAAACAGGTCCTTGGAAGCCGTAGGTTAGAAAAGCATGACCGCGGAGTATGGCGGCCCAGGCCAGACACCAGCAAAAGTGGCAGTGCTGCACATACGCACCAACTCCACCCACACACACGATTTATTTACTGAACCACCCCCAACCGGCCCTGAGGGAGGGACCTGACTAAACTGTGCTATTTTCCCAACAGGTAGGGACTGCATTTGCTTTTTTTGGTGCTAGAGCAATGACTGGCACTATCATATATGCCAAAATTTAAAAAAAGTTAAATACATAAATGAAAGAACAACAATTTCAGTGTTAATTACCTTCCTATGTTCTGACACCAGGAGCCTCAGCTGCATTTCTATTTCATTACTTGTTACTGATGCATCAATCGTGGATGCACATAGAGGTGGAAAGGGAGGAAGGGACGTTGTAGCTCCTGGAGCACACACAGATTTAATTGCTTCTTCACTCATGGGTTTCCATTTGGATTCATCATTCAAATCAAATATACAAGTTTCTACAGCATCAGAAGGTTGACAATTTCCCAGGAACATCTGATGATTGAAAACACAACCAATTGTTCGATATGGGTACAACGGTTTGGGCTGTTCAGCGAGTGGAGGTTCATCAGGATTGATAGGTTTGTGGATGTACCTAAAAAATTAAATAATTTTACATAATGAGAACTTAAAAATTAAGAAAGCAGCATCGTACTGAGAAAAAAAATTATTCTAAAACTTAAGGATATAACTACTTCCCAGGACTAGAGTTTAACACTTGTTTTTCCTTCTTATATTTCACAATTTGATTACTCTGAATTAATTGTAAAGTACATCTTATAATATAGAAACCAACTTTATTCCTTTAACAACAGAATATATTCTATGCATATTGTTTTTTTTTTGTCTTTTGTCTTTTTCCGTGTCCGGCAACTGATTGCAACCCTCAGTGTTGCCCCCGTACCGGACCGGGGACCGGCAACGGGACTGCAACCCTCGGCGCTGCTCCCGCGCCTCGCTCAGCCAGTGAGCGGAACCGGTCTGTATGTGGGATCCAAACCCTCGGGCAGGAGCACCGCCGCACTTCCCAAGCAGCGCACTATCCAGTGCGCCACCGGGCCGGCCCCTCTATGCATATTGTTAAGGTAAAAAAAGTTTATCCCAGATAACACAATTAAAATAATTTAGTTATAGATTATGAGGCATGACTAACAAAAATGATTATCAACCAGATACAGAGTACCCAGGAAAATAAAAAGGAGGCCAAGGGCTATACCTCTAGTACACACAACATTTAAAGACAAGAGGAGGAAAACTGAGATAGAACAGCCAGAGAGGAATAATGAAAATTAAAAGACAATGATATGAGGGAAGCTAAGGGAAGAAAATGTTCCAGGAAGGAGGGAGTACTCAACTCTTTCAAAATCTGATGACAGGCTAAAGTACTAAAAAAAAACATCCAGTGGATTCACCAACATGGAGTTGGTGAACACATCAAATTTTCAAAAGATATCATGATTTACAACTTGAACTTATTTTCAAGCTTAGGGATGATCTTCAGAAAAAAACATTGACAATTTTAAAAAATACAAGTAAATATAATTTACTTTTTACCAACTTCATGTTGACAAAGAGTATTTTAGGGGTACAAACTTTTGTAGAGTTCATTTACTCTACAAAAGTATTTTAGGGGTACAAACTTTTGTAGAGTTCATTTACTCTACAAAAGTATTTTAGGGGTACAAACTTTTGTAGAGTTCAGAGTGCACCATAATTAATTTTTTACACAGTCATTGAAAGTCTCTAAAACTAAAATTATCAACATATACCTTTGAGTACCATCAATACGAACAGAAAACCCTATAACTTAAAACATTTATATGTTCATTTTAATATCCTTGTAAACTTAGTTGACTAACCTGTGTCCTGTTAAACTCTCCCAAAAGGTGATGGTCCCATCAGTTCCACTGGTCATCACCCACGCGTGAGGTACTCCTCTTGCCTTAGTCCCAACACAGACAAAGGCTTCTAACCCATATCCAAGAAGAAGGCTGCACAGAAGGTTAGCATGATCTTCACAGTCACCCTAGAAGACAAAACAAACTTAAATTAAGTATTTATTCCTTCATATCGTCTCCTCATTAAATATTTAAATACAAAATTACAATAAAAATTTACTAATACATTTTTTTCACTTTTTAATCTTTAGTCCAGTGGTAAGCTGAAACAATGGGGAAAAATTATTTTACAGAGTTAGTGCTCACAAATCTGACAGTCATAACACATACACAAAGTTTATAAAGAACTCATACAACACAGAAAGAAAAGCAGGAAGATTTCAATAGATGAACAGCTAAAGGACACGAGCACACAAGCTGACAAATCATATTGCAGAAAATGCAGATAAATGGGAAAACACTCAAATTAAACCAATGAGTTATAGTAGCTATACACAATAATTTCTAGGAAATACATACACAGAAAACACGGGTGGGAGAAAAAATAACAAAATGCCAACAGTGGCTATTATTAGGGTAGGTTACATATAATTTTCCTCTCCATTTTCCAAATTCTCTTTGATATGGTTATGTTACTTTCACAATTTAAAAACTTAAGACTATAAAAACAATAGAAAATATCTGATAATATGCTCTGTGAAAACATTATTAAAATATTAAACAATACAGCTACAATTATATAAAGATACGTATTTAAGTATAGGAACACTATAGGTAACATGCAAAAGCAAAACTAACTGTTGAACTGAGTGAGTGTTAGAATGAAGGATTATTTCTTTCCCCCAAAATTTGCATTAGTGGTTCTACACTGTCCTATTTATTTACTTATTTATTTTGGCAGCTGGCGGGTATGGGGATCTGAACCCTTGACTGCAGTGTCATCAACACCGTGCTCTAACCAACTGAGCTAACTGGCCAGCCCTGTTTTTTGGGTTTTTCTTTAATTAACTATAATAAAACAAAGAGCATTTTATAGTAATTAATTTGACTTTATAAAAATATGAGAGCCAACCTTTTAGACCCAGAAATTTCTATTCTGGACTTTTGTACAAAAAAAAATTCAAGAGAAAAATAATTTAACATGCAAAGATATTCAATGTAAAAGTTCATTCACATCATAGAAAAAAAACTGGAAGCAAGCCTAACTTGGCCAAAAGAAACAGTTCCTACAATAAGTAAATAATTATGTAGATTTTGTATACTGACTCAAGAAAACTTCAGCCATTGAAAGATGGAAATCACAGGGCTTGCCAATTAGCTCAGTTGGTTAAAGCGCAGTGTTGTAACACCAAGCAAGGTCAAGGGTTCAGATCCTCATACTGGCCAGCCACCAAAAAGAAAAAGATGGAAATCACAAAGACTGTAGCAAAACATGGAAGAATCTTCATAGCATAATGCTATATTAAAAGGAGGACACAAAATTTTATTTATATCTTCATTACTATTATAGAAAAAATGATACATATACAGGAGAAAAACAAAAATATAAAAAGAAATAATAAACTGGGAACAGAACTATGGGTGAAGTCATCTTTACTGTTGTAATGTTATCGTTCATGCAACAAAAATATTTTAAATATTTAAATAATTTTCCAGATTCTAAGATGAGCTTTCTCTTTAAAAGAAAATAGTGAATCAAAGTGATTATGTACTTTACAAAATAATTATTTATATAATAATTTTAAATATGTAACATTCCTAAATTATTCAAAATAAAAAAGTTTAAATCCATCTACACAAATTTTGGCAATTGCAGCTTGGAAATAAAACAATTTTTTTTCTTTTTGTCTTTTTTCGTGACTGGCAATGGATCGCAACCCTCAGTGTCGCGCCCGTACCGGACCGGGACCGGCCACGGGATCGCAACCCTTGGTGTTGCTCACGCCCCTCGCTCAGCCAGTGAGCGGGAACCGGTCTGTATGTGGGATCCGAACCCTCGGCAGGAGCGCCACCACGCTTCCCAAGCGGCGCACTATAGCAGTGCGCCACCGGGCCGGCCCAAAACAATTTTTTTTCCATAACTAATGTTTAACTGCTTTTCAATTGTCTTCAAGACACATCTTTCTAATTGACAAACCAGCCTCTCATCCAAATTCTTTCACTGTATGAGGGGTCTTCAAAAAGTTTATGGAAAGATTCGGATTATCTTTTAATTACATTTTTCCACACAGTTTTTAAACTACACTTGTATGAGCTTTGCCTTGTGAATATCCCTTTTATGTATACCACCTCAGATTAAAAAAAATTACTTCAAAAGAAGAATACATATAGTAAATTTCTTTTTTTCTCCTGTTTTAACTAAATCGAATGCTAAAGGTAGTCTTAATTATCATATTATGAACATTTTTTTTTGTTGTTGTTGTTGTCCTTTTCGAGACCGGCCGCACCGCGCTCAGCCAGTGAGTGCTGTGAGCACACCGGTCATCCCTATATAGGATCCGAAACCGCGGCGGGAGCGCTGCTGCGCTCTCAGCGCCACACTCTCCCGAGTGTGCCATGGGCTCGGCCCTTATGAACATTTTTAAAACACAGAAGGTTAGGAAATATCCCATAATCTATAAAATTAGTTTGCTGAAATCAAGTCATTAAAAAAGTTTAACATCGATAAATTTACCCAAACTCTTAAATATACACTTGTATATTTAAACTAAACAAGAGCTGGGTAGTTAGCTCAGTTGGTTAGAGTGTGGTGCTGATAACACCAAGGTCCAGAGTTTGATCCTTTTACCGGCCAGCCACTAAAAAAACAAAATAAAATAAATATAAATAAAATAAATATAAACAAAATACCATTCAATCCCAGATTTTTTTTTCCATATTCATTTTGTAATGTCATTTTCTCTTAAAAGAATATACTTAAAAAAAATTTTTTTTGGTGTATTTAAAAAAGAATGTATTATCTGAGCAAATTTTAACACATTAATAGTACCAGAAGACCATGGTTCTGGTTCTGGCGCTGTCTCTAATTCACTCTATAACTTAGTTTACGACACTATGATACTTGTATGTCTCTACCTCACAAAAATCAGAATAAATTAAATAAGAAACTACATGAGGAAATAAAGATGCTAAGTTTTTCTTTGCATATTGATATTGAAATGTTACGAAAAATAGTAAAAACAAGATTCTGACTTGTTCAAGCTGACAGTATGTACATTTCTCTAAGTTAATCTTTTACAAATGTATTATAAATTCAGAATAACTATGATGTACTGCTATTTAACTCTGTGTGTATGGTACCTTGTTTCTACAGAGAAAGGCCAGCAGAGTGCACCACTGTTCCTGTTTACCTCCTCCTCCAATAACAGGGGCTCGTTCATAACCAAGGACGTTGACAAATCTTGCTGCTTGCCTTGGAGTATCCAGAAGCCGCCCAGCTCGAAGAGGTTTAACATAGGAACAGACTGGTCTATTTATCCCATTTTCATCCTGGAAGAAGAGGGGGAAAACATTATCTGTAATGATTAATCATCCCCAATTTTAACATTTTTTTAGAATACATTAAGGTGGGATAAAATAATTCTGGATACCATTTACTGAGTGTTTACCCTGCATCCAACACTAGGCTAAGTGCTGTGCATATAATTCCTCTTTTAATACTCATAACATCTCTATTATTTTCATTTTATAGATGATGAAACTGAAGGTACAGCTATTAGACAACAGAGCCAGGATTCAAATCCTGAGCTGTCTGACTGGAAGCCTGTGACAGTAAGAACTCCTCTGAGAAAAGGGTGGGCAGATACATAGGGGAGGTAGAGGGATCTACGCCGAAGTGTTCTTTCAAATTACTATACAGAACTTAACAACGTATATCTGGGCAGAATAAATAACTTTCTGATAGACTGATATAACAACAATTATCAGAGTTCATTTCTGCTTTGTTTTCCACTAGGGCATCACACTTAGAGATCCGCAGGAAACAACAGTTTGTTAAGCAAGTCAATTGAAAGCAGAATGTTGAAAACATTTCAGGAAAAGTCTTACATTCTAAATATAGGATGTATCTAAGTGCTTGTGCTAAGTAACAACTGCACATATAAAGTCTCTGATGACTGTTCACCACTGTATTCTTAGTATTACCAAAGCCCACGTTTTCCATAACTTCATGATCACTGACACAGCAAAGTGAAAGGGCTGCTTGCTATTCAAGGTTTGGAGATGACTTAACACTCTGTACTATGGCAGGGCTCCTTAGGAAATCAGATCTAACTGAGCCAATAGAAATAACACCTTTCTGAATTATCAGAACCACTGATGTCTTTCTATACCACAAACACATCACTTTTCCAATACAAAAAAACTCACTTATTTATATTTGATTATAGTGAGAAAGATCATGAATTTTTATTTATTTATTTTTATTTATTTTATTTATTTGTTTTTTATTTTAATTTATCAATAAACAATGTAGTTGATTTTCATGTCCCTTTACCAATTCCTCTTTCCCCCTCCATCCCCCCCATCAACATATCTGTTTACTTGTCTTAAAAAGTTCAAGGAATTGTTGTGATTGTTGTGTCTTCTTCCCCGCCCCCACTGTTTGCTTGTATTCATGAATATTTATATGTTGCACAGCAAAATGACTACTGTACTTTCCATTCATACCTATAGCTCTCAACCCTAAAAGGCATAAATTTTTAAAACAGAAATTATTCTTTTGGAAGGAAGTGGAGAACTATTATTTGGTTTTCTTGTATATTAATTCAGCATTACTAATAATATAGTGTAGCATGAGAATGTAATGTCCTGAAATCACAATCTGAACATTGACAGGATATCCTCAATCTTCAAGTGATTTATAACATTTTCTTAAAACTTAGTGGTCTTAAAGTTCAATTTCTATAACTTAGTTTAAAATTTCTTTCACTAAAAAATTGAAAAGGCATCATTAAATAAATTATTGTACAATAGCAAAACCAGCTAGTAAAGGAGAAAAAGAATGATGGATTATTAAGGATAATGACCCTGATGAGTCTACAGATCTTTGGTTAGAATCAAGGAAATAAACTCACTTCCTGTGTGAGACATTCCTATTCTTGCAAATTCACTGACAGGCAAAAAAGGGACGAGTATATAAAATACGAATGCATTTGCCTAAATCAATCATCAATAGTAGCACCTTGGAATGCAAGATATATCATTACATGTTTTATTACAGCAACATTTCTAATATTATCTAAATATATTCCCATAAGATATTTCAGCATCTTGAAAATTTCCGTATTTCAAACTCTAAACCTGCACTGTCCAATAAAAAGCCACTAACCAACCATATGTGGCCATTCAAATTTTAATTAATTAAAATTAAATAAAATTTAAAATTCAGTTCTTTACAATCACATTAGTCACATTTTGAGTGCTCAGTACATGGCTAGTGGCTACCATAGTGGACAGCAAAGACATAGAACATTTCCATCACTGCAGAAAGTTCTACTGGACACTGCTGCTGTAAGCTTTCCTCTTGGGCCTGCAAATATTAGAAATTCTTTTTCAGAACATGTATAATAATTTTTTGGTTTGTAACTATACTTTTTGTAATTAGATTGACTGCCCTAAATAACTGTTGTTCCTAATTTCATAGCTAGTTAAAAATAGAACAAAGCAGTAAGAAACAGCTCTGGGGATCTAAGTAAGATAAGAATTTTATTTACCTTATGTATATGGAAAGAGGTGGCACAAACCAAGAAGGTACTAGTTGAAACTGCAATTTAATACAGACTCTGAGGCCGGCCCGTGGCTCACTCGGGAGAGTGCGGTGCTGATAACACCAAGGCCATGGGTCCGGATCCTATATAGGGATGGCCGGTTTGCTCACTGGCTGAGCGTGGTGCTGACAACACCAAGCCAAGGGTTGAGATCCCCTTACCGGTCATCTTTAAAAAAAAAAAATACAGACTCTGCCATGACTGAGTTGTTCGATTTTAGGAAAGACTCTTCACTTATCTATCCTTCATACTGTCTACAAAGAGAGGCAATGCCTGCCCACTTGTCAATCTCATATGGTTACTATGAAACTAAATGACCTTGTGGTCCAAATATTTTTACAGTAAATTCTAAGAGACAGGACATTTATTTGATATTTCCTAAAAGAAAGTCCCAGTTGCTTGATTTCCTTAGCAGCATATCAATTTCCTCTACCTCCTCTTTGATCTTCCATTTCTTTGATCAGACTCCACCTGGCAATGAATAACTGCATCTCAGACTAGGTAGATGCAGGGAGCCAGTTACAATCTGACTAGTTTCTTCCTGCCCTTTCCCTGACATCTCTGCTACCTTGCTGACCTGGTCTTTCAATGTACAGACAATGCTATCAGAAAGTCAAAAGGCATTTCCCTTAGTCCCACAACTAGCCAACTAGGGTCGCTCATTCCCAAGCTCCCTATCTAGAAATTGAAACACTTCTAGCTTGTCCCAAAATCTAGGGAGAAGAGGGTAAAGCTAAATGAATATGCAGGATCTGAGAAACGTAAGTCAAAATACTACTACACTGTACTTACATAGAAACAGCTACATGGGGGGGGGAAGAAGATATAACAACTATACTTTTTTGAAGTTGTTACAACAAGCAAACGGAAAGGACATTCTTGGGGGGAGGGGAGAGAGGGAAGAAGGAGGGAGGTGTCGGTGATGGGCCATAGTAATCATATACATTGTATAATGACAAAATAAAAATTTAATGAAAAAAAAAAAGAAACAGCTACATGAGGTTGAATACATATAAAATATTTGAATGGTTCCTCAGAAGTTACCAAAAAACATAGATTTGAAGGCCGGCTGGTTAGCTCAGTTGGTTAGAACTCAGCCTTATAACACCAAGGTCATGTGTTTGCATTCCTGTACTGGCCAGCCACCAAAAACAAACAAAAACAAAAAACAAACAAAAATGCAGATTTGACCATATATTTTATGTTGGTTTATAAAGAGAGAAAATGGGCTTAGGACTCAGGTAAAACAGAAGCAGAGGGATATAGTTGAAATGCTGCAGTTAAATATTACTGGTCACTGGCTTAGAGATCTTGGTTATACAGAATTACTACATGTAATATTGTTTGTTTAAGAAAAACCCTAACAACAACAAAAAAATGCCCAGATCCCCAGTTCTTCACACAAGAGCTGAAGTCACGTAAAAACTGCAAAGTATATAAGTGATTAATTTCTTTAGTTCTAAGTATCAAGCAAGGACACACTCCCAAGTTAAACAAAATGTATTTTCATCTACTTTAAGTCAAATATACTCAGAAAGGGTTTAAAAACCCCATAATTGAAATAGAAAGCAAAATAAAACAAAGATTGTATTATACCATTCACTTACTCAGCCAAAGTGAGTACTACAAAATCAGCACTATATTTTAGAAACTTTCATTTGTTTGGAGTAAATACATTTTATAAATGTAAGTAAAATTTACATATACAACAGTAAATATCAAATACAGACATGAAACTTTTCTAATATTTACAAACCTGTGCAAAAATCTTAACCAGCCGTGAGTTGTGTGAAGGTCGAATTTGCAAATATTCCCTCCACCACTGCTTAGCATAGACAAGAAACAATCGCTCTTTCTCTGCAGTTTTCTGTCGTTCCAAAGCAAGCTTGAAATGAAAAAAAATATTTTTTCTCAATTTCTGTTCACTCTCCTTAATTACTACAAAATATGTAACAAATCTATTTACTCTCCATCACTATCACCACCCTAATCTGTAAGAGCCTCCTGACTTCCCTATTTCTGCACTTATTCCTGGTACAATCCAGTCTCCATACACTTGTCAGTCAGCGTGATCTTTTTTTCCCTCCTAAGACAGACATTTTAAAATAATAAATCATATTCTGTCATTCTCTTCTTTAAAACACTTTAATTATTTCCCGTCATACTGCAAACTCCCTGCTCTGACCTATAAACTCTGGCCCCTATCTCATTTTCACCTCTCCCCACACCCACGACACTCTGGCCACACAAGGCTTTTATGCCTGCATAGGGCCTTTTGCTCTAGGCTGGTCCTACGGCCTGGAATGTTCAGGCCCAATCTTTGCATGACAGGCTGCTTCTTGCTATTCAGATCTTTCTCTACCCTATAATCGCTTGAACTAAATCAGCCTCCCAGTAACGACTCTATCATATCATCCTTTAATAATTCCCCACATAACACCTTCTACTATCTGATATTGTTTGTTTATTGTCTCCCCACCAAAATCTAAGCTTCTTGAGAGCAAGCTGTCTGCCTGGTACACAGCTGTATGCCCAGTGTTGGAAAAGTACCTAACACTTTTTAACATCTGTTTAAGACCAATAAATATTTCTGCCTTAAAAATTTTTAATAATGGTGTAATTTTAAAGAACATTCCTGGAAAATTAGAAACAATTTATACATAAGAAACAGGAGGAAAAAAAAAGAAATAAGAAAAAAATAAAAAAGAGGATAAACTTATGCTTCAGTCATTAAAAATGATAAACATGGGCCGAGCCCGTGGCGCACTCGGGAGAGTGCAGCGCTGGGAGCACTGCAGCACTCCCGCCGCGGGCTCGGATCCTATATAGGGATGACCTGTGCGCTCACAGCGCTCACTGGCTGAGCGTGGTGTGGCTGGTCTCAAAAAGGACAAAAAAAAAAAAAAAAGATAAACATGACAGCAGAAACATGAAAAAGTTTTTTATAAAACAATGTTAAATTTAAAAAGTAGAACCCAGTCTGGCTAGTTGCTCACTTGGGAGAGCATGGTGCTGCTAACACCAAGGTCAGGGTTCAGATCCCCATACCAGCCAGCCACCAAAAATAAAATAAAAAGTAGAACCCATTTATCTGTCAACAAAATAAATTAAAAGTTACTATCACGAAAAAGAAAACCCAAATGTTTACTCATTTACATATTATATAAATTTATGAATAACATGATTAAAACATAGATATACACACATATGTATGTGTATGTATATACACAAGTACATATTTATTGAGTAATACCAAGGTTATTTCCCACTATGTGGTTTCAGACACATATACCACCCACGACACATCTCACATGCTAGAGACTAAAGGCAGATGAGTGTTTAGAACGTGAAAGACGAGGAAGTTTCAAGAAAACAGGACAGGACATTGTCTGCCTGGGGGAAAAGGACTAGGAATCTTTTTGTGTGTGTGTCTTTTTTGTGACCGGTGAGGGATCGCAACCCCACAGGACTATAAAAGGAACAATATGATGGGGCAGAATGGAGTAAAGGTGCAATTTCAGCACTGAAGTATGTAGTCAAGAAACTCTTTCCACAAGTGCCATTCCATCAAGTCAGCAGATAATCATAACCTGCAAACCAAAGTCTGGCAAGAACTAAACAGTGTGGCAAATCCAATTTGGAGGGATGAAGGAACCCGTTGATCTTACATGACCCAGGAAGAAAGTAATTTCTTAAAGACCCAACAACAGAATTAGGAAAGAAAGCCTCTAAAAACACATTCCAGAAGTGCCAGGCACTTCTGCCCTGAAAGTACAGGGCAAGCTCTCAATAAATGTCTATGAAATGAACGTTAAAATCCCACCCCACTGATGTTACTCCTTATTCCAATTCTTATGTTGTAATTCTTGTATTGTTTCAATGAATCTTCATTGTATTTCCCAGACTAGACTAAAGATTCCCTAGGAAAACAATCTTGTCTTACCTTCTTTCTCATCCTTTTTGTTAATCTTTGAGTGCTAACCTAAAAAGTAATAAATGATAATTTTCTAAAAAAGAAAGTACTTTGTAGGATCAACAGGTAAATATACTACTATAAAAACAAATACACAAAGAAGAGAAACAGAATTATTTACCTGTGTATTCACTACTTCTTGAGATAATGTTTGATTGAGTGGTGGGTACATTTCAAGTTTTATATTTAAAATTCCCACAGAAACTTTTGATTCTGTGCCTATAAACATAAATATTTAGAACTTCAGAGGTTTTAATACTATGTATATTTAATCAACCAAAATCTAGTCAAAATAATTTAGGAACTTGGTGCTTTACCACTTACATAGAGTAAAGACGACAATCAATATCACCTTTAATATTTGTGTTAAAAATGAACCAAATCAGTTTTTATATTTCACAGAGACATTTATCTAACTATAAGGAGATTAACTATTTTCTTAGCTTTCTAATCATGTTTTAAGTACTTTTTGGTACAAGTCCAAAGGATTTGGGACTCTTAATTTTGACCTTCATTCAATGTATAATACCAAACGGACTTACATTAAATACAAAGTCAAAGCAACCGTTAAAACCTCATTCTGTCTCTTTAAAAAAAAGTCAAAGAGCACTGATGCTCTTTGTCACCTATACTAATTTCCATTTACCCCTTCCCATTATCACATCACGTGAGAACAAATTTTCAATCCATGCCTGGATTTTAAAAATTAGAAAACAAATATACTTCTCACCAGAACTATTTAATATTTCTTTAGTGATTCAGAATATGCTTGTTTCTAGGTCATCACTATGATTATCATGTTAAGCCTACTTTTGAAGACAAACAACTAGATATCTTTTTTGAAAATAAATCTCCTACATAGGGCGGGCCAGTTAGCTCACTTGGTTAGAGCATGTTGCTGACAACATGAAGATCAAGGCTTTGGATCCCCATACCAGCCAGCCGCTAGATAAATAAATAAATAAATATCTCCCACATAAAGAAAACTTTTTCTCTACTCTTTAAAGAAAAACACATTCTGGGCCGGCCTGTGGCTCACTCGGGAGAGTGCGGTGCTGATAACACCAAGGCCCCGGGTTCGGATCCCATATAGGGATGGCCGGTTTGCTCACTGGGTGAGCGTGGTGCTGACAACACCAAGTCAAGGGTTAAGATCCCCTTACCGGTCATCTTTAAAAAAAAAAAAGAAAAACACATTCTGCGTCTGACTTATTAAATTCTAAATTACTAAGGCTATGCTGTTCACTGTCCAGATTTAACTCTGTGACTAAGTTTTAATACCAAAATAATTCCATGTTACGAATAAAACATGTTATGATAAACAAGATAAGCACTGTTTTTGCCCTCAAGGAGTACTATTCATTGATACTGACATTGAGAGCAAGTTATCATCTCTTCTAAGTCTCGCTTGCCCACTGTAAAACTTTGAGAGAACACCTACTCCACATGCAGAAGAACCACTGGTACTGACGGGTATGCAGTGTATCCCAGCATGTGGTGGAGTAGAGTAAATTTTTTGCTCATGTGCATGTGTGACTGCATGAAGAATCTTAATTTTCTTTATAGCCTTCTATTTAATCAAATAAACTTAGAAAAAAATTAAAACCCTCAAAATTTCTATATTCATTTTCCAGAATAAAAATTTTCCTTAAGAGAAGGCCAGATTGACTATGAAGTGCTAGACTGACACTATTCTTCAAGACATTCTTCAAGACTACAATGCTGTAGTCCAATTGTATTTCTAATAAAGTTCTATTGCACAGGTTTATCTCTTGACTTACAAAGGCATTTTAAAGATACAAAATGTATTTACAAACAAACTATGGCTACAAAAAGGTAACAGTGATACAGTCATCATACCTACACCCATAAGTTCCACGGTAAGATTGGTTATGCCATTTTCTGAGCCCAAAACGGATCGCCATTCTAGAAAATAGGATGCTACTAAAGTAGTCTCACCAAATATGTCTATTTTGATTAGCACCATATGAATTGGATCACTTATTGATAACATTGTTGTTGAATCAGCCATTCTAGTTCCATCACCTAGCAACATAAACCAAAGAAAATTACATCATTACATTTGCAGTTAGGCCAACATAACACTACACTAAATAATACGCCAAAAGAACCATCTGGTAATGCCTCAGCATGCAAGAGATGGGAATAGTCCTATATCTACACTAAATTTTGAGAGGACTAGCAGAATTGTAATGAGTTATCTAGTTAGTTATGGCATATCAATGCTTTCTGATCCCTAAGAGATAAGTCTGTTCTTTAAAAGTACTTACCTAAAGTATATGCTACTACAATAAAAAGACTTCAAATATATCAACATTAATCCCCAAACTACATTCTGTCAGTATAGTTCTGCAGCTTTGCTTAGTTTACAAATATAAAGATTTCTGTACTGACAACTAAAATGTACAAAATGCCTTTTTATATAGTGTAAAACAGCTATAGGAATTAAGTACAGGTTTCATAAAATTTAAAGTTATAAAAAGATAATTATATATTCCCATCTGAATTTTGACTTTTAAAGGTTACACAGCATCACAAATCTGGTTATCCTTCAAAAATGAGAAGGGCCTAGCTCATCCCCACTACATCCCCAGCACCAGCCTAGCATAGTACTATGCATACAATAGGTATTTAAACGTTTATTACTAAAGAACCAACAATTAAAACAGTCAAAAACTAATCTTCAGGGAAAATTAACTAGCAAACAGAGAATAAAGCAAAAAGTAGAAGTTGGTGGATAGAAGTAGTTTAAATCAAAAAGAGCACTGAGGAAAAAAATAAAAGACTAGGGAGATTTGTTCATTATAAATCTCTCCTTACAGCAAAAGTTGCTCTAGTTGTTCTACAATAAAACCTAACAAAGATTTACTCAGTTAAGTGACAATTTATTACTGTTCCTTACCTAAGCTTTCTCTGTGTACTTCAAGTAAAAAGCCATCATGAAAATCTGGTTCACAGGCACATGGAACAGGTTTAGAACGAAAACGCTGGTTTCGATAATGTAAACATAAAGTAAACGTTGAACAAACTTGTCCTGGTAAAGGTTCAGGTTCTTGCAGATGTTCCAAAAAAGCTTTTCCACCCAAAACCTGAAGGTAAAGATACCTCCGTGTTGGATCAATATTAGCTGTAAAGTGTAGCAATATATATGAGGAAACTGCCAAATAACTTACGGAATGTGATCAAGACATTAGGAAATAATAACACAGAAATAAAACCAAGACTAAAAAAAGAGAAAGAGTAACTAATTTACTATATACCAGAATCATTTGCATACTGGGAAAAAGAGATACATAATACGATATCCTTTTCTGAGTTTACATCTTGGCTACTTTTTCCCAACTAGAAAGGAGTCAGAGTCTAGTATACCTCTGCTTTTTAGTTGCTTATTCAACATTCCTTTATCTCCACAAACCAACTCAGACAATTATCAACTCAGCAACTATATTTGTCAGATAATTATACTACCACTAAGAAAGCAAGGCAGTACAGTTTTTATAAAATGTTATTAAAACATGAGAAACCAGTTCCTATTTTTGCTTCTTCGGTGCTATACATTACATCTTCTGATATACTTCATGCAAACCAGAATCTAGGTTTTTGGTTAACAAACCACAAAATTTTAAGTATTTCATTTTGGAAAAAATATTGAAATGTTTTCTATCAAATAACAAACACTACAGCACATCAATATTCATTACTAACAACAGCTAAGTTAATGTTAAAAAATATATATACATACTTTTTTTTAATGTTGGTTGTCTATCAAAACAAACAGATTGCTTTGGAGAGGAAGGGAGTTCTTGATCAACACTGTCCTAAAAAGGAAAACAAAAAATTACAAAAGTTATGGGGCTGGGCAGTTAGCTCAGTTGGTTAGAGTATGGTGTTGGTAACACCAAGGTCAAGAGTTTGGATTCCCCACCTGCCAGCCGCCCACCGCCCCCCAAAAAAAAGTTAGGTAAGAAAATACCAATAATGGAATTAAGCATTGATAGGATAAGGCCCCTTCAAAAAACTTCTATTTTCCTAGCATAATTAAAATAATGAAAATAAAAGATACAACTGGTCACTCCTACACTCTAATACTAAGGAATTAAATTGTCTTCAAGCAACGCCATCCACAGTATGTTAAAAACAAATCCTTAATACCTTAAATCAGATTAAACTTTCTCTAAATCTTATATAACATTTGGCTTATGATTCCACCATGAAATGATTTTAATAAGGAAGTGACATTCACACAGCAGAAGTTCTTATTGGGTCAACTTTTGTAACAAATGGGTTCATAAACCTCAAAACCCAAAAAAGGATGCTGTGTTAAAATACTTACTCCCTAGTGTACTATGAAGTCCATCCAATTTTCATCATATTACCAAGGTATTGGGGTCACAGTTTTTCATTATTGCCTCATTTTCAAAAGAAGGCCTACTTACTAAGTGTGCCCTGAGAGGCTATCATCCCACTATTGACCTATCTGTATGAAAAGATTTAAGTGCTACACAGTCAATTATTTTCTTAAAGAAATTATAATTTTATATCATAGAGAATTTATAAAGCCCAAAGAGGATTTATTTTTTAAATATGCTTAATATAAAAAAAATTATAGAACAATCTCAGTGAAAAAGAACTTTGTTATGGTGAACTAAAATGATTAAAATATGTATATTCAAAACTACAGACCTAGAAAATAACAAGATTGTACATTATCTTAGATTAAAAAAAGAAGATGGCAAAATTCTGTCACTGTAGAGAGAGGAATATGATATATAACTGAAATTTCATTGATACCTAATACCCCTTCTATACTCAAGAGCTAGCTTACACTTGAAACAAACAAGGTTATTCCTAGATGAAATGGCCTTATTTTAATGAGGTTTTACTAAAAGGAGAGGCCCCAAATATAAACCCTATAAACAATGTTATGCATGAGCATATACTCTCAATTTTTTTCCCCTAAAAGATGACTCACAGTAACAAAATTAAGTTCTTTGATCACATCATCAATGATTCCTCGACGTCTAAGAGCTTTGATCAAATCTTCCGTTGATAACTGTTGTTGATCAGGTGTCAGTTCTTCCCGTATAGTCTCAGCAAGGATTTCTCTTATTCTGCCATGGACATCCATCTACGTAAAAAAACTCGCATTAAAATTCACATTACAAAGAAGTAAATATTGTTTTTTAAGTTTCAGGCTTCTCGAGCTAACAATAAATGTACATTGTCACCACAACTGAATGAGAACTAAAGGTGAGCTTCTAAAAGATGAGTACAAATTCTGGAAATAGTCTCTACTGGTTATCTGCTACCTTTGTTACCAATTCCCCACAAATAACACTCAACCAAAACAAATCTTTTGAGAGGGAGCATATTACACAGAAGACCTGAAGCAGGCAGATCGAAGTATGAATTTCAGCTTTCATCTTACTAGATATGTAACCTTGAGCTACCTTACCTACCCTTTGTGAATCTGTTTTCTCACCTAGAAGATGGAAAACGTGTGTCCCCGCCCTCAAAAGATGGTTGTGGGGATTAGACAAAAGATGCTCCAGACAACCTAGCACGAAGCCTGGGCAGACCAGAGCACCAGAAACGGTGGCTTTTGTGACTTCAACGTCTTGCATTCGGTTGAGCGCCTCGGAGACTACGGGTTCTTTCAGAGCTCCGAAGCTCACATAGTTTCATCACCGATCCTTTAGCAACTTGTCTTTCATGACTTATCTACGAGCTGCTGATTGGAGCTCCTGGTGCAACTTCAGCGATACCCACATGAGTCACCCTTAAAGCTACCCTGATATCTCACTTGCGAGCACGGTACGAGCCGGCTCCAAACACAATGCACTTGCCCTCCAGAAACGGCTGGCTAAACGCTCCCTGTTCACAGCGCCCTACAACAGCCAAAGCGCTCTATCTCCCCCAACTCTCACGGCGAGGCCTGGCCAGCCCGCGCTCTGCGTCCCACGGCCTGGCTCGCGTCCCAGCAAACAGGCGCGGTGGCCCGCCCGGCCGCGGCCAAGGTCTGGGTCCCGGTCTCGGCCGTGCCCGCGCCGCGCTCACCTTGCTCAGCTGCTGGTGGATGAGCTGCTTCAGCTCGGAGGCTTTCTCCGGGGGCAGCGACATGCCGGCGGCCGGCGCCTCCCCGCCGCCTCGGACGCCCTACCCGCGCGGCGCGCCCCAGC